CACATCTCAGATCCTTCAGAGAGCTCTGGAGAGGGAAGCACGAACACTAACCCCAAAGGGGTTCTAAAATCCCATCAGACTCCAGCAATTTAAAGTCAGAGCACACCCAAAATGATACACAAACACAGAATGGCTGAGGTTTGAAGGGGCCTCTGGAGGTCATCTGGTCCAACCTCCCTGCTCAAGGGGGACACGCACATTAAATAAAGCAAGGAGCCCCTGTCAAGCTGCACATCACCGCATGATAAACCCCTCAGGACTACCATGCTGTAAAGCAGCTTTCAGATCCTATGTACTCTTCCAGCCACACCACGGTTAAAAGCGCAGCAGTGCAGTTCAAACCAGAGTCCTTGAGGCAGCAGCGTCCAGGACACCCGATTAAACTGAACAAGATCAGAAAGGAGGCCCAGTTCCACACTTCTGAGAACCCCCTTTCCAGTGACCAGTAGCTGCTACTGAGCAGAACTGGCTCATTCTTTTGAGAGAGTGGAAAAGGAGAAATCACTCCAAGCAGCAAAGCAAAGGCTGTACCTTTACACCAGTTATCTCACTGATATGCCTAACCTCCCCAGCCAAGAGCCCCAGCCCAAATGGTGGCTCACTGGAAGAGTCCCTGTCCTCACAACAACCAAGGACGAGTTCATGGTGAGAGGGGCTGATGGCAGCTGCAGCCCTGTGACTTCAGGGCAGTCCTGCCAGCAGCCCTGCCTCCTGACTTTGTGCTGCAGGACGCAGGCAGACCTGCCCCAGACTGGGTCCAAGACTGCAAACTGGTGGTGGCACGAGGTGAGACAAAGCAGAGGATCAACCGGAGCAAGGCTGTGCAGAGGAAAAGGACCTGGAGGTGCTGGTTGATGCTCACCTGAACACGAGCCTGCAGTGTGCCCAGGTGGCCAAGGAGGCCAACGGCATCCTGGCTTGTATCAGGAGCAGTGCAGCCAGCAGGACCAGGGAGGTGATCGGTCCCCTGTGCTCAGCTCTGGTGAGGCCACACCTCGAGTGCTGTGTTCAGCTTTGGGCACTTCAGTACCAGAAGGACATCGAGGCCCTGGAACGTGTCCAGAGAAGGGCTATGAAGCTGGTGAAGGGCCTGGAGCACAAGTCCTGTGAGGAGCAGCTGAGGGAACTGGGGGTGTTTGGTCTGGAGAAGAGGAGGCTCAGGGGAGACCTCATTGCTCTCTACAACTACCTGAAAGGAAGGTGTGGGGAGCTGGGGGTCGGCCTCTTCTTGTAGATAACCAGCGATAGGCCTAGAGGGAATGGCCTCAAGTTGTGCCAGAGGAGGTTTAGGTTGGAAATGAGGAGACATCTCTTCTCAGAAAGAGCAGTCAGGCATTGGAACGAATTGCCCAGGGAGGTGGTGGGGTCATCGTCCCTGGGGGCGTTCAAAGAAAGGTTGGACGTGGTGCTTGGGGACATGGTTTAGTGGGTGACATTGGTGGTAGGGGGGTGTTTGGACCAGATGATCCTGGTGGTCTTTTCCAGCCTTATTGATTGTGTGATTCTAAGGCCCAGCAGATGGACAGGGCTGCATGCCATGCACCATGGCATCCCTGACAGAAGGCAGCAGCAGCCAGCTCCCGGAGCTGTGCTGCAGAGCACCAGACCCTGGCACGCAGAGACCTGCTCTCCAAGCACATGCACAGAGCAGAGCCCACCAGTCTCATGGAGGTGAGGGCCTCTGTCACACTTCAGCAGCACCCAGTGGGAGTGTTTGGCAGCAGAAACACGGGTCTGCTCTCCCCAGCACACCGTCAAGGGAGATGGATGCTTCAGGAGGGCACATTCAGTAGAGAACTGTGGAGGCCACCAGAATGGAGCAGGTTTCTCCTGCTTACTCTTTATGTGACAGGACAAGCAGCGGAATGCAAGACTGTATGACTCATGCCTGAAAAGGGACAGGCAAGATAAATATGCTCCATTGTTTGTTATTCAGCAAGCAAAAAGGAAGCCATAGAAAGAAGATACAGAGGTTTACTATCATGTGGATGAGGCACTGAGGATGAGGGGCAGGGAAAGAGGCAGTGGGATGTAGGGCTGTTGTCGAGGCGGAGGTGAGAGATCAGTGCTGACACAGGGGCACATTACTGCTCTGGGAACATTCACCAATTCACTATCACCTCTGCTCCTGTCTGGACATCACCTCCTTTCCTGTAACATCCCAATGAAGCCGCAGGTGTCACATGCTGAAAATGCTTGCACTCAAAATGACTGAGTTGGAATAGAGACATCCAGGATCCAGGCAATTCATGCTGCTGGAGGTAATTTGTATGCCTCAAAGGATCTTAAAGATTTCTCTATGACCTGCCTGTACACAAAGAGTGTGGCCAGTCCAGGGAGGCAGCCAAACCCAGCTAAGGACATGTCTAGCACCTGCAGAAATGAAAACAGGAGAAGTCCTCAAAGAACGTGTGAAAAGTGCTTCCTCCTCAGAAAACATGGAGCAGCAGACAGCATGAGAGCAACTCCCCTGGGTAAGACATAAATCCTGCATATCCCTGAATCCTATTTTTGCAAGTTGCTAATAGCTGATCCCAAGAGGAAGAGCACAGGAACCATTGCGGGGGCTGAACAATGTTTGGCTTTTGTAGAGTAGCAGCTTCTGACAAACTGCAGCTTAGAGCCCTCTTGAGCCAGAGGCTACATCTGCGTCTTTGTGTTTAATAGCCCTCAATCAATTTTTCTCCCACAAATTTGCCTAATGGCTTTTAAAATCCTTTTCTACCTTGGCCACTGTAAACACCCTGTAGCAATGAATTCCACAATGTTTCACCCACTAACATTCCCCCCAAGAAACACTCAGTAAAAAATTACTCCCATTCATTTGTTTTAAAACTCTTGCATAGCCTTTGTACTGGCCATCCCAAACACCAGTTTGTGCAACATGGTGAATTATCATTCCTGTGTGTGCTCTCTGTACCACTCCGTGGTGCAGTCCATCTGCATATCCCCAGCTCAGCAGCTGCTTTGCAAGCTGAGTATTTTGCTGCATGTGAAAGCTAGTCCACGCTCTTGATACCCCTTCCTGTGTCACAAGAGTCTCTGCAGCAATTCACAGACAGCGTTAGAGCTGACTGTCCCAAACACTTTGGTGTCATTAGCAAACTCTGCCCACTTATTGTCTTATCCCTTTTCTGGATTGTATGTGAACGTATTGAACAGCAATGTCCTGGTGGTACCAAGTCTGCCTTATGTACCATTGTAAACACTCTGGCAATTAAACATTTGCATTCCTCCAAACCTCTTAGGCAAATATTTCACCCTGGCACTTTGTTATGATTCCTATTATTGATTAGCTTCATAATCTGATCTTTTGCCACCTCATTTTGAGACAAATCCTCCAATTTTCCTCATGTAAAGAAAGGGTTCATCTGTGACCTCCTCTGTAATAAATGCTACAATTTGCTGTTTTACTCTAGTCCTATCTCTCCAGTGACCCCACTTAGACCCTCATCATCCCCTTGCTCTACGTATCTTCTGCTCACATTCTTGCCTTCCATGTCTTTGAGCACCACTTTTTATCTTTGGCCAGTTATTTTTCAAAATCTCTTTCAGCCTGCATTTGATCCGTCTTCCTTGTTGTGGCAGAGTTTCTACTTGTAAAGGATATCTGTTGAAACCTGGTAGATGAACTCCAGCACAGATTATCCACCTAGCACTTACACTGAAACTGGTGGACAATTGGCAGATCTGCAACACAAAAACATCGTTCACAGAAAGGGGACTCACAGAGACAGACACCAATAGGAAAGGCTCCTGAGGCATGGTGCGTGGTTTTCATCTGATTCCAGCCCTCTTATTCCCTGCCCTTGTGCTTATTCCCAGCTGTATTTTTCTCTTACACTTTGGTAAGACCCAGTGACTTATTTACCCACAGGTCTGTTCTGGTAGGCACAGGTGTAACCAGTGTGTGTGCCTGGAGGTAGCCCTGGCCTGGGATGGGCTCCTGCAGTCCAGGAGGTGGTGACACAATCTGCCAGGTTTCACACAGGGCTGACACTGACAGGTGGACAGATTTAGGGCTGGGATTTACCCACAGTGGGCTCAGACAAGGGTCTGCCATGGGCAGCAAGCAGCAGCAGATCAGGTCCTGCTGAGTGCCCATGGCAGCGCCACGAGGCTGGCAGTGGTGGCACCAGTTTCCCTGTATGCATTCTGTGGTCAGAGCAGGACCTGGTGCACCCACACACTGAAACACCTCCCCTTCACTTATGCTGTGCTGCAGGGAGTGGGACTTTGCATGCACTGTCTGAGGCTAACAAAGCTCAGGATACCTGGTGTGCCTCCTCATCCAGCAGCTACACTCACCACAGTCCCTCCAGTTTAACCACACCAGCTAAAAAGGGCAACAGTCTGGGGTGAGGGAACGTTTCCCAAAACAGCAAGCAGGCACCAGTGTGGAACAAGCAGGGTGGAACAAATAATGAACACGCTAAAAGAAACCGGAGACGGCCAGAAATAAACGAAAAACAGTGAACGAGCCAGAAACTTTCCAGAGGAATGAAAACATCTGGAAGATTTCTTGCTTGGAGCGGCTGAAGTGCTTTCTGGGTGCACAGAGCCATGGGCGCCCAGCTGGGTGCTCAGCGCGGGGTGCAGCACCCAGCACCCAGCACCCAGCACCGACCAGCGGCTGCCTGGGAAGATGGCAAAATGGCAGCGTTCGGCTGCAGGAGAAACGCAAAGGGCCGCGAGGACCACGGGCACGCGGATCGCAGAATCACAGAAGGGTTGAGGTGGGAAGCGACCCCCGGGTCCTCCCGGTCCTCCCCTCCCCACCAGGGCCCCCCGGCCGCTGCCCGGCCCCACGCCCGGGCGGCTTCCAGGAGCCCCCAGGAGGAGCCCCCAGCCCCCGCTCCCGGTGCCAGGGCTCCGGCACAGCACCGCTGCCCGGGGGTCGGGTCCCGGGACACGGAGGGAGCGGCGGCGCTCCGTGGGCTGGCGGCCCCCCGGTGCCGGCGGGGCGGGCCGTGCGCGGCCGCACGTCCGGAGCGGGGCGGGACGAGCCCGGGACGGCCCCCGCTCGGCGGGGCGAGGGGGGTGCTGTCAGCCCGCGGCGGGGCTCCGCTGCGCTCTGCTCGGTGAGGCTCCGTGAGGCTCGGCGCGGGGATGGCGGTGCCGGAGCCGGACGCGCGGCTGGCGCAGGAGAAGGAGGAGGAGAGCGAGGAGGAGAGCGAGATCCTGGAGGAGAGCCCCTGCGGGCGCTGGCAGAAGCGCCGCGAGCAGGTGGGCGCCGGGCGCGGGGGCCGGGAGCCGCCGCCGGGCCCCGCGGGGCCCCGGGCTGTGCGGGGCGGCAGCGCTGCCCCCGGCCCCGCCGCATCCCGCAACACGCCCCGGGCGCGGGCGGCGCTGCCGGGACCCGCTGGGCGCCCGCAGGTGCCCGCTGAGGGCGATGGCCGCGGCCGGGGGGCAGGAGCAGCCCCGCGGGGCAGCGAGGGACGGGGGCGGCCGGAGGCGCGGGGAGCGGGGCTGTGCGTGCCCCGGTGCGGGGAGCCCCGGTGCGGGGAGCCCCGGTGCGGGGAGCCCCGGTGCGGGGAGCCCCGGTGCGGGGAGCCCCGGTGCGGGGAGCCCCGGTGCGGGGAGCCCCGGTGCGGGGAGCCGGGCCATGCCCAGGGCAGCCGGGCGGTCCCGGGCGCGCAGCCCGCAGCGGAGGGCACTGGTGGCCGGGGGAAGGAGGCTGGGCGCCGCTGGAGCCTGCGGTGAGTCCCGTCCTGGAGGCTTTCGCTGGCCGTGCTCCTCGAGCCGTGCCCCGTGTCCCTGGTGCCGTGGCACGTCGGTAACCGGGAGTCTGGGGGCCGGGGAACTGCAGGAATGAGGACTTGCACTGCGGGGCATGGCGGTGATGGGGGATGGCCCCTGCGCTACTGCCCCCAGGGCTGGAGAGTCTGGTTCCTGCTCTCCAAAGAGCTTTGGACCGTTGCAGCTCATCTGCCAGCCCAGGGGCCCAGCAGAGCCCTCCTGCAGTGCGTCCTGTGTTGTTCAGAGCTCCCATCATCACCCTTGACCTCTCTCCTCCAGACGTGTCCCCCAGGTCTGCACAATGCCTCTCCCCCTGAAAGTGGAGCCTGAGTCTCCCTGTCTCTGTCAGGGCACCCAGGAATCAAAGGGATCAAAGTCAGTAGGTAAATCCTCACCCCAGGCAGAGGTGGGACAGCGATCACAGCTTCTAAAGGGCCCATCCCAGGCTAATCCTGTTCTTTATCTTCCCACTGCCTGCTAACAGCTTTTCTGTAGTCCATTCAGTGCCCCACTTGGGCTGCAGGCTGTTCATGTTTTAGGCTGTCCCTCATCCCAGCCTGGGCTTTGCTGAAATGTTGATAACCTGCCTGTGTCGGTGCCACCAGCACCTGCCTTTCCTGTGTCGCTCTGTGCTTTCTGGCACTTCCACACCCACACATCACAGTTTGATCTCTCTTCACCACTACCTCAACACCTCTGCTGTGCATCAGAGCCTCGCAGGGGTACGTTGCACATGGCTAGTGCTGCAGCCTGATGCCCCAGCACGCATGTGCTGGTGCGAGTGCTGCGTGGTGGGTGCCAGGGCCTGACTCCACGTTCAAAATCCCACGTCTTCTTTCCCACCTCGCCCTTTGCTCTCCTGGGGTATCAGATCCCACCTGTGCACCACATCTGAGCCAGATGCATTTTTGCCTTCTGTCATTTCCCATGATCTTCTTTGGGACTGGCTTTTCTGGCACCCATCAGCAGCCATCCATCCGACCACTGCACCCTGCACCCAGCAGGCGCTGAGCTCTGGCTGCAGGTGCAGGCGTTGCGGCACGTCCTCGGCCCCAGGCGGCCGCCACGTGCTGCCGGTGAGGCCTGGGGTGGCAATGGAGGAGCAGCCGGCAGACCCCGTGGTCTCTGCCAGGTGGCTCTGCGGGACAGCTGAAGGGCTGTCAGGAAAACAGATTTTTGGCTGAGAACACCCTGATGCTCCTGCATTTAGACCTACAGGCACAAAATGACCTCCGCTGTGTGTTGGAAGTGAGCAATAGGGGGGAACCATTTGGGCTATGCTGGATAACTCCTGTAATTTAATGGCATCTGACCTGCAGTCACACTGTGTGACAGAGTTCTTGGATGATGTGTGTTAATCTGTGACCCACCAAAGCCATCCGAACACCCTACTTGTCCTTGGCATAGACATGGCTTGGAGGTCATTTCTTGGCTGAACAATCCCTGTCTATTTTGACCCAAAGGTGACATTTAGTGGTGTATATTTTAACATGTAACTCCACAAGTGAGCCCTGAGCTCTCCAGAGCGGCATTGCAGTGGCTGGAACTGGCCCCTGGAGGTTTGTCCCCTTGTGCAGTGCGTGTGAGAGGTGGAAACAAATGAGGTGCACAGCACCATCAGTGACATTTCCACACAGAAGTTTTGGTAATTGGTCACTGTGCCGTGCCACCCGTCTGTGGTGTTTCTAGATGGAGAGCTGGGAGGGGAGGACTGACCTTTTGTGGGTGATGCAGGACAGCAGGGGGTGGCAGGAAAGCTCGTGTGTCCTGTGTGTCTCAGTGGTTTGAGAGGTGGCCACACATCAAAGAGATGAGTTACAGTGCTGCCATCACCGCATCTCCTGACGAGCAAGGGGCTCATAACATCACATCTCCTGACTCTTCACCCATGGCAGAGCTGCATGCCTTGGGGAGGGGTGCGTTCAGGTGGGCGACCCAAGGAGAGCAGTCTGCTTCACAGGGACAGGGGCCATGAGCTGTAAAGCTGCCGCAACAAAAGCACGCATGAATTCAAACAGGGAAGTGGCAGCACTGCCTAATGCAAATGAAAGTGAAGGAAGTTTTGTGTAACAGACTAGTTATTGCATATTCCTAGATGCTTCGGTTATGTACCAGGAAGAAAACAGTTTGCTACTTGTAAGCTGTTATCTTCTAATGTAGATAAACAGCCATTCTGTTTAACAAACATTCAGATTTCCATAAGCACATCGAGTATTTTTACCAATAGGGATTTTCCCTCCTTATCCTGACAATTTAGTATAATTATTTATTTTCCTTAACTTGTTTTTGCCACAACGGTTGAATCCTGTGTAGGACCCATGGTGCTGTGCTTGATCCAAGGTCCTGCTGTTGCAAGAACGGGTCCGGAGGGGTGGGAGGGTGCAGACGTGCAGTCTGCAGCAGTGTCCAGAGCCCAGAGAGCTGAAGTGAGCAGGGGTGAGCGCCCTGCGCAGGCTTCTAGGGCTTAAACCATGGTGCCCTGTGGTGTAGGCTGAGAAGCATGTTATGATGAATTCCTAGTGCGTATCTATTAATAACATGTACCCAAGGACTGCACCTTTGTTTTCACATGTAGCAGTTACAGCCATTCTCTGCAGCCCTACAGAGTGCGTTATTACACCCCGTTCAGGTACGGGTGCAACAACGTGAATGTGCTGTGCGCGGTGCCGGTTCCTACCGCTGTGCTGGGTCTGGCCGTACACGCCAAAGAGGAGAATACTTCCCTGCACAACTTCCGCTGCCTGTTCATGATGCATATACTTATGATGCATATGAAGTCACAGCTTAGGAAATAGAAGCACTTAAAGTATTTTTGCAACTTATCTGGAGAAACAGTCACGTGAATCCTTCAGCGACTTCACATTCAGCATCAGCACAACCCATGTTCTGCCTCCCTCACTTCTCTCCCTGCTATTAGTGTGAAAGTACAGCGAAGGAATGCTGCTGCTGTAGACTTTTCCATTTAGGAAGATATGTTTTTTTCAGCATTGGTTTGATGACTTCATTTAGTTTTTCCACCCGTCCTGTGGAGTAAGAGTAATACGGAAGATGAAACTTGATACGCTGCTTTTTAAAAAGTTTTGCAAAACTTTTCCCATGCGGTGGGGTTCCTAGTCTGATTACAGATTCCTGAGTAAGCTCTAGCACCATGTTGCTAAAAGCAAATGTTTATGTATCCATGTTGCTTTGCATTTGCAAAACCTTTATCCCTTTGGAAAGGGGGCTGTTATGACCAGTAGACATTCGCTGACTCTGCTGTTCACGAGCACTGGTACCATGGCATTAATTGGTAATGTACCCCTGGTTCAGGCCATTTCCAGCACCTTTCTCATCCATCTCTGCGGGGGTGTCCCAGATGGGCAGTTCTGCCTCTTGTGCTCCACACAAGAGTGTCCAGGATCAAGTGTGCCCTGGGTTGCCTTTGGCATTCCTGACCCCTTCTTTTTGCACGTGAGCACATGCTTGCTCTGGCAGGGCTCTGCTGTCGTTCACAGCACCGAATGTTAGGTCCATTCTCTGCGTGTAACCCTGACATCACAAGCCCCGCGTTCTGCTTTGCAGAGCTGGCAGCTCCAGTGCAGCTGCTCATTGCTAAAATAGGGCTGGTCGCAGTTTTGCTCTAAATAGCCTATTGCTCCCCTTTTGGTCACCTTGTTTAATAAAAGGGTTAATGACTGCATGTGTAATGATACAGAGCCCTTGAACTATGAGCTTTAACCAACTTCTAAAAGCAACAGGAGGAAGGGGGGGGGAAGAGAAACAGGAATAGAAAGAAAGAAAAGAAATACTTAAGCAGATTTTGAAGAAAATAAAGTGTCTTGAGAAAAGCTGCAAGAGGGGGAGATGTTGCAATGTTGTTATAGCTTCCCCCAGACCTAAAACTGAAAACAACATATGGAGAAATAATCTAGGATTTAATACACTGAGGTGGAAGGGGGTTCCCCCCTTTTTTGGGCATTCATGATGTTTGCAGTGAGGATAACCAGTTCTGTGATACATTGTTTGGAAAGCACCCAAGTATTTAATATTTGCCACCAGAGTTATTTTTAAAAGCTGCTTTGCTGCCAGCCCTCCCAGGAGACTAGGACTTGAAGTGTGCTTTGTTGTGAAGTGCTTTTCCAGAGCAGAGGGGATCAGCTGAAGGACTTAGCTCTTTCTTTTCATGCCATCTATTTTTTTCTTCCCCTTACTGTTTTTATGGCTTTTGTTTGCAGTTTGTTTAGCTTTCCAGGATGAGTTTACCTGCAAACCTGCTGGCCTCAGCTGATCAGACAGGTTCATATCATCACAAGGCTTTGCTCTGGGCTCCAGGTAGGAAGTGGAGCATCCCAAGTGGTTTTGGCTGAGGATATTAGAGTAATGAGGATATTAGAGCAAGACGAAGTTGTCTGAACTAAGGTGGTGTAAGTCACCGGTAGGTAAACTGAATGGGAAGCAGACAGTGAAGTCCTCTTCCCAGCATGTTTTCTGACAGTTTGGCAACAAAC